TGCAGTGGACCTTGATGAAAATGTTATAGCACTCATTCCTTGCTAGAATTTCTCATTTATTTCACCTGCATGGGCTGATTAAATTAAAAACTCTTGCTGTCAGGGTTTCTAAAACAATGATAGAAACCTGGTAGTCAGGATATAAACTTCGGGTTAGGTCTTCTCTTCCCTCCACCCCTAAACTCTTCCTTATTCCCATCTCTCAGTCCCAGAATGGGAGCTTTGCAAATTTGTGAGTTCCTGACATGCAGAGACTTGTGGATGTTGTGCACTTGAGCTCAGTTCTGACAATTGATCTTGCTGCCCACCTTGGTCTGTTTTAGGGCTCCTAGAATTATCTTTCTGGGAAGGTATTCAAGAGCAAGAGCAGATCTCAGCAAGGGTTCCTTGGACACAGGAGACTGAAGAGACTAAGAAATGGAACAGCAGAGGAAAACATGAGAAAGCTGCATGTAAAACACAAATGCTCTTTGTGGTTGTCTGATACCCATTTGAGGAGAGAAACCACACCTTTTGCTTGTCTACATAATGAAAAAAATAAATGTCTATGTGCTGGTACCTTTGCCAAGTATTTTGATTCTGCCTATGCCAAAAGTAGACAGCTGGACACAGTAGACTTTCTTCATGAAGGCTAATATCAAAGTGTAAGGTATGTATCACTTTATTCTCTTTAATGAATCTTTAGTTCATAAATAGTTATCTAAACCTGGAAAGTCTGGGATCCTAGATGTCAAACAAACAAACAAACAAACAAACAAACAAACAAAAAAGATTTAAGGGAGTCCTTGAGTTGTTACAATATTTTGAAAAAACTATTCAAAATGGAAAGAAAGTCTGCAACAAGATAGCAAGGATTTCCTAAAACCTTGAATTTCTTTGCTTTTGACTGATAATACATAGGAGTTTAATATGGGTACATGTGTTATTTCATTTTGGTCAGAAGCGTAGATCTGTAGTTATGTGTCAATTACTTTGGTGAAGAAGATAAAACAAATAATTATAACTTAATACATTTCATTTGGAGGAAAAAATCTTTCAAACCTTGGAGTTCATGCATTCCACATACACCTCTTCCATCCACTGCAACAGATACTGAGGATAGGAATACAGAGGAAGAATAGCCCCCGCCTTTAAGGAGCTCACAGTGTCAATGGGATAAAAACATGTCAGCCCTAAATTAGCTGACATAAATATCACCAACCTGTAATAGGTGCTGTGGTTAAGATGTGGGAGCAGAGAGGAAGGAGCATCTAATCCTCCTTGAAAAAAAGATGGGGGCTGTGAAAGGGCTTCAGAGAGAAACGAGTCCCTGACAGGTCTGATTCCTGAAGGCTGCTGTGGGTTTCAAAAGAGACAGATGGCTTGAAGATCTGGAGGTGCAAATTCCAAAGGGTTTGGCTGAAACCCGGAGAAATGAGACTGACAGTTGAGCAGGGACCCAACATGATGAATCCTAAAAACTATGACAGAGAAATCATGGCAACAGAACCCACTGAAGACTTACAGAGGAGTAACCTAATGATAGAAGCTTTAAAAATGGGTAATTTTCATGAAAATATGAAATATGAATTGGAGGGGGCTAGGAAGACCAGGGTAGTTTTTATTTTCTTAATTAAAACAAACAAACAAACAAACGCTTATTGCCTTATTGCCCTGGCTAGTTTGGCTCAGTGGCTGGAGCATTCACCCGCAGACCGAAGGGTCCCAGGTTCAATTCCCAGCCCAGTCAGGGTTGTGTGTGAGGCAACCAACCGATGTGTCTTTCTTCTCTCTCTCTCTCTCTCTCTCTCTCTCTCTCTCTCTCTCTCTTTCTCTCTCTCCCCCCCCCCCTTTCCTCCTTCCAGTCTATCTAAAAAAATCAATGGAAAGATATCCTTGGGTGAGGATTAATAATAACAAAACAAACAAACAAATAAAAAAACCCTAACTTAAAAAAAACAAAAAAACAAACAAAAAAACCCTAACTTATTAATTGGAGTTCAACATACACGTAGTAAAGTGAATAAATATTAAATGTTTAGCTTGGTAAATGTTTTCACACACACACACACACACACACACTTAGGTAACCACTGACCAGATTAGAAAATTTCCCAGCATTCCAGAAGAGTCTCTCCTGTGCTTCCCAGGCAATACCCATCAAAGCTTCTACCCCTCCACCCCACATTCTGTGGAGAGCCACTATTCTGACTTCTATCCCCGTAGATTAGTTTTAATTGTCCTTGAACTTTATATAAATGGAATCATAGACTATTTATTCTTATGCCTGGCTTCTTATACTCAACATTATGTATGCAATATTTGTCCTTGTTGATGAATGTAGCAGGAGTTCATTCTTTTTAATTGCCATGTATATCCCAAAGTATGATTTTATACCACATTTAACTTATCCATTTTACTGCTGATTGACACTTGGATTGTGTCAAATTTTTGGACCTTATGAATAATAGTGCTTAGCACTTCTTTATGTGTGTCTTTTGTTAATGGATATACTCACTCACTTTTCTTGGGTTTATGTCCAAGAGTGAAAAAATTGCTACTGTTATCAGTATTTTTACCTTTAGTCATTCTGGTACCACAGTCTGTTAGGTGGACATTTAGCTGTTATGAATAAAGCTGCTATAAATATTCACATATAGATCTTTATATGGACATATATTTTTCATTCCTCTTAAGTACATAGGAATGAGAGTGCTGTGACATCTAGTAAGCGTATATTTATAAGAAACTGCCAAACTGTTTCCCAATGTGGCTGTATCATTTTGAATTCCCACTGGCAACCTATGAAAGTTTCAGTTGCTCCTGTGCCTGTCAACATTGGGTATTGTCAGTTTAAAAAACTGTAGCATTGTTGTTATTCTAAGGTGGTATCTCATTGTATTTTTTAAAAAATTGAGATAAAATTTATATAACATAAAATTCACCATTTTAACCATTTAAAAGTGTATAGTTAAGTGATTGTTTTTAGTATATGGCCTATTCATATTTTCTTTTTTCTTGAGTGAATTTTGGTTTTGGTCCCTTTATGTAAGGAATCGGGGGCGCCGCCGAATAAAACAGAGAAGAGACTGGAGAGCCAATCAGCCGAATAAACAGGGATCAGGCTTTATTGGGTACACTCCGGGCGGGTTCACAGACTCTGGGGGTCGAGTCCTAGAAGCCGCGCTCAGTGTAGGGGCTCCTGTCTTTTCTATCTGCCTGTTGTAGCTGGAATTTGTCCCTTAGGGTTTGGCCCTGCGGGGGCTATGCATGGAGCCTCTGGAATGTGAATCGATAAGAGCAAGATGGGAGTTAATCTACAAGCTCGAGGCAGGCCGTTCAGGGTGGGAGGCAAGGCTGAGCTAGCGAGACAATGGTCGAGCACTTTGCCTGGCGCCAGTCCCCAGGCCATCGGACACTTTAGACATACTTTCTTTAACTATTTGAAAATATTTAAAATAGCTTATTTAAAATCTTTGTGTAGTAAAGACCAATATTTGGGCTTCCTCATGGACATGTTTTTTTGTTTTTAATTGCTGTTTTTCTAATGATGAGCCATATTTTCTTTTCTTTTTTTTTAGGATGCCTCATAATTTTTTGTTGAAAACTGGACATTTTGAATATCATGTGACAACTCTGGAAATCAAATTTTCTTCCCTCCCCAGAGTTCACTGTTACTCAGCTATTCCACATCTCTCTTTCAAGATTCGGCTATAGTTTCAGCTCTATCAGAAAATCTTAGCTAATCTTCCATTCTGAATGAGATGTGCTCTATAGCACTCCATACATATGTCTGTCATGGTACTTGTCGCAATATATTTTAATTGTTCTCTGTTTTTTTCTACTAGATGGTACTTAACAGCATGGACTCTTTTTATAACTCCAATGCCTAATTAATATGACGTCTGGCATATAGTAGGTGCTGAATTCAAGTTTAATAAATGAATGATTTATGCATATGTAGGCAGAGAAGGAGCCAGTGGTGAGGAAGAGATTAAAGGTACAGAAAGCAGAGTTGGGATGTCATCCATGAAACAACGTCTGCCAAAAAGGATAGGTTTCACAGGAGGAGTGATTAGTTTTAAAAATAAGAAAGAGCCTAGCCAGTGTGGCGCAGTTGGTGGGGCGTGGTCCCGTGCACGTTCAATTCCAGGTCAGGGCACATGCCTGGGGGCTCCATCCATGCTGGAGGCAGCCCATGGATATTTCTCTCTTATGGATGCTTCTCTCTCTCTCCCTCTCCATTCCTCTCTCTGAAAGCTATAAAAACATATTTTAAAAAAATAAGGAAGAAAGTGTCTACATCTCAGATCGGAATAGCAATGCGGTAACATGAAGGGATTGTTACTAAAGGTTCCTCCTTTTTTTTTTTTTATAACCCTTGTAGAGAAGTAGGGGCGAAGAGCAAAGGGTAAGGAGGCAAGAGGAATTGAGGACAGAAGAAAATGGCAACAACTTGGAATGGCTATTATGGGGAACAAGAAAGAATCCTGATCAAGGAAAGGTAAAGGAATTGCCAAGCAGTGGATAGCAATCAGTTAACATCGGAAACCCTGGAGTTCTGAGAGCTCAGGCGTTCTACCCCCTCCCCCGAACCAGACGCAGGCTCCCGATTTGGAAACAGAGGGCAGGAAGTTTAAGACTGAAATAGGGTTGGGGCTTGCAGTAGAGGGAGAGGGACAGGTGCGCAGGTGGCCAGGATTCCTGCTGGAAGAAAGGGGTGCGTCTGCGGAGAGTTCAGACGCTGCTGTAGGGAAGGAATGCTGGTCCAGGGTATCTCTCCATCCCTTAAAGATTGTGCGCACAGACCGGGGAGGGGTGTGGCTACCAAGCTGTCCCCAAATCTACAAGGCGAGGGAGCTAGCGCCCAAGGAGACTTAACGACGTGTCAGTCCTCTGCAGTAACGACAGTGGCCCTCGCCGACTTGCCAACCCAGGCCGGCCACGGTTCCGAAGCTAGAATGTTTCCCTCCCCCAAGTTGCTAGAAGCAGCTGGACCCGGAAGCTTCTCTGCTGACCCGGAAGCAGAGCCGGAGGCGCCTGGTGGAGCCACCGCCCCCTCGCCGCTGGGCCGCCTCTGGGGAACCGGGGAGGCTGCGGCGCCGCGCTGCCCTGATGGTCCTCGGCGGGCAGCGGCGGCGGCAGAGGCGGCGGGAGGATGACCTCTCCCCGGGAGCGGGGTGCCGACCTGGCCCGTTTCTACACTGTCACCGAGCCTCAGCGACACCCCAGGGGCTACACGGTGTATAAGGTCACCGCCCGGGTGAGTGCCGGTGGCAGGCGGGGTAGGATCCTGACCTGGGAGATGAGGGGCTGGGGCGGGAACCCTGGCGTGGGGGTACGTGACCCCGGGTCAGAGCCGAGGGCGGGGCGGCGTGCGCGGGTGCCGGGACGTGTGGGAGGCGGGGGCTCCGGGAGCCTGGGGTAGCGGCTGAGTGTGGGTGCCCCGGGCTCTGCTGGAGAAGGCGGCGGTGGCGTCCGCATTCCCGGTTGGGGCAGAGGTAGATGGTTTCAGTGGATGACTCAGCCCCCATCCCGTTTGGACTTTCTCTTCTGAGGCTGACATTTGCAGAAGTGGTTTTGCTTGCTTCCGAGGGATGTGCAGATTAATGAAATACTTAATGTATTATTTCATTTATGTAATAGATCTTTGTTTGGACCATTAATACAGCGTCATTGTTTGCACTGAGGCAGACAGACGCTGGAGAAGGATGTCGGTGTTAGAGTTACCAGCCTAGGACCTTTGTCTGTCTGTCCTTTTGCTTTTGCGTCTTTCGTGGTTTACAGTAGGGGCCATCTGAGAAATTCTGCCGAAGGTGTCTGTGGGAGTTGTCTTGAGGCCGTGAGTGTCCTCTATAATAACTTAACTAGTCCACTTTTTAGTACCCACTTTGTTTATGTTTCATTGCTCTTGCACCTTTTAAGGAGAGTTTGTATCTCTGTTTTTGAAAAGTAAAGAAAAATAAAATTAAGTAAGTGTATATGCATGTAATGTATGTATGTATGAGCATGCATGTATATTAGCCATTTTGTACACATCACCCAAGTTAATACTAATTTTTTTTTTTATCCTCACTTGAGGACATTTTTCCATTTTTTTGTACAGATAGAATGGGAGGGAGAGAGAGGAAGAGAGAGAGAGAGAGAGAGAGAGAGAGAGAAAGAGAAAGAGAAACATCGACGTGAAAGAGACACATCGAGTGGCTGCCACCCGTACAACCCAACCAGGGCCGGAGACAAACTGCAACCGAGGTACGCGCCCTTAGCGGGAACTGAACCCGGGTCTCTCCGGACCGCAAGCCGCTGCTCTAACCGCTGAGCCAGACCGGCCAGGGCGTTAATACTAATTTTAATTACAAAGAAACTGAGGTTGAAGGAAGTGTTGTAACGTGCCCAATTTTACATTGCAAGTCGAAGCACATCTGGGATTTGAGGCCACTTCTGCCTAACACCAAATTATATAAAAAGTTAAGAATTAACTTTATCTTTATCATTAACTGTTAAAAAGGGAGAGGGATTGCCCGGCCAATGTGGCTCAGGAGATTGGGATTCGTCCCTTGGACTGAAAGGTCCCGGTTTGATTCCCAGTCAGGGCACCCGCCCAGGTTTTGGGCTCAATCCCCAGCAGGGGGCGTGCAGGAGGTGGCCCATCCTGTTTCTTCACATGGATGTTTCTGTCTCTTCTGCTCCCCTAAAAAAAAAAAGAGAGAGAGTGAGAGAGGGAGAGAGAGAGAGAGAGAGAGAGGTACTTGGAGGCTGTAGTAATCATCTCAGGAAGTAGGTCTTGAGAAGAACTTGACATGTGGTTTATAGAAACGGTACACAGTGAGCACTGGCCGGTGTGGCTCAGCGGTTGGAGTGTCGGCCTGCGGACCAGGAAGAAAGAAATAAGAAATGGTGCACAGTGAGACAATTGGGAGAAAATGGCATGAGCACATTTGTTTAAAGACAAGACCAGGCCTGGCAGAGGGTTTTACTGATAATAGAGGGAAATTTGCCACTCCCTGTTTGCAACTAAGGTTGTTATATAGATGTAGTGTTAAGAACTTTTCAGATTAAGGGGCCCTTATTATACCATTCTTGAAACCTTTTTAGTCATTGGGCCCTTCAAATATCTAGACTTCATTTCCAAATATAATTTATGGAATTAGAACAGTTTTCAACATATGTTATGTTCCCCTCATAGCACCCTGTTCCTACCTTATTATAACACTATAGTTACAATGTACTAGTCTGTTTGTATGTCTATGGTTCTAGTAGATTTAGGCTAGGTCTCGATCATTGGTATTTGTTTCCTTTTATAACAGCTAAGGCAGTGCATGACACACTATGTCTAAAAAACATTGTTGAATGTTTTCCTCTCCATTCTATGCCACATGCTCAATAAATGTTTGGTTCCAGGCCCTAAATGCTATAAGGATACAAGGCTGAATGAAGCATCGGCATTCCTTTCAAGGATACTCATAGCAGAAGAGTTTACAGGATTTGAAGAAGTATAGTATAAGATAGAAAGTGTTAAGTGCCAGAAGAGACTAGAAAAGAGCTATGTGATTTCAGAAGACAGATTACTTCTGGCTCAAGGGATCAGGCAGGGATATGTACCAATTAAGATGGGTGGTAAAAGATAGGAAGAATCCAGACAGGTGGGATAAAAGGAAGGGGCATCATAGGTGGAAGGGTAGGTAGAATGGAGAGAGCCCATAAAGGCTTAAAGGTTTAAATATGTGTGGAACTTGAATATCAAACACTGTGTACAGTAATTACTTGTATTTGTACTTTACCAAAGGAAAGGTGAACCCATTCAGATCTTAAATATATTTTCTTAAGCTTCGAGCTATTTACTGAACTAACTTCTATGACAACATAAATTAGGGTATAAAGTACTACATTGTCTCAGAACTAACCAGTTCTGTGTAATATGCATGCTACATACTACATATTGCTCTGGTTATTTGAACTTGAAAATTGCTTACATAGCCTTTCTTCTCTGTGTAAATGTTTATGTCCTCATTTGTTGCTTATGTTACAGATTTTAATTTTAATGTTTGAGGGTCAACATGGAGATATACTTAAAAAGTAATTTACTATTATAAAACAAGTAAAATATTTACTATTTTTTGAGACTTAAGGAGAAAAACATCTTTCCTCAGGAGAATTAACCAAGTAAGTAGTATTCTCCTGAGAAAACTTTATGAGATAAAAATTAGGAATGTCTTCTCTATGTTCCTTACTACTGATTTACTTTCAGCTTTAAGGAATAATCTCTATATTCTTTGTGTGTGTGTGTTAATTCTCACCTGAGGAATTTTTTAGATAGAGTGGAAGGGAGGGAGGGAGACACACACACACACACACACACCTCGATTGACTGCCTGCCTTATGACCCAGACAGGGCCCAGGGATTGAACCTGAAACTCAGGTCTGTGCCCATGACCTGGAATGGAACGCTGACCCCTTGGTCTGAGTCAGGCTGATGCTCTAACCACTGAACCAAACCATCCAGGGTAATCTCTTATTCTTGGTTGTTGCAGCATTCTTTTAAAAAATTTTTATTTTCTTTCTTTGTTGGTTTTAGAGAGATAGAGGAAAAAAGGAGAGAGAGAGAGAAACATCAATGAGAGAGAATATCGATTGGCCGCCTCCTGCATGCCCCCCCACTGGCGATTGGGCCTACTACCTGGGCATGTGCCCTGACCGGGAATTGAACTAGCGACCTATTGGTGCATGGGTCGATGCTCAACCACTGAGCCACGCCGGCTGGGCCATTGCAGGGTTCTTTATGTAGGAGTACCATTATTAAATTTTGCGTAGCATAAAACCTCTTACATCTTCTTAACTCTCCTTTATACTTTTTTATTTTTCTTCTTACAGTTGTCTGGAACCTTGCAGGTTTAGGTAACAAGCTTGTTAACAGATTTTCTAGTTAAACTCTGTGTTGTTTATTAATTTTTATTTAGAATAAGTACCTCTGTTTAGAATTGGAAAATTCTTTTGTAGGTTTCTTAGATTCTTGATTTGAGGGAGACAGATATAAAAAAACATTAGGAGTTTTGGTTTGTTTCATCATGCCAAGTTTACAAAATTCTCATATTATAATATATTTCTCAACAACATTAAGTGAATGGTAGTTCTTGCCTGTATTCTTTCAATGAGTATGGAAAGGAGAAGGTACGTCTTTATGTAAAAAAGACAGTATTGCCTTATGACTATATTTTGTTTATATTGAGGCATAATTTATATACAGTAAAATTCACCAGTTTTAAGTGTATAGTTTGAAGAGTTTGGACAAATGTAGATAGTTGTGTAAGAACCACCACAGTCATCATGGCAGAAGTTCCCCCATATCTTTTGCAGTCTAGTCCCCTCTCTCCTCGCCCTGTTTCTAGGCAACCACTGGTCAACTTTCTGTGATAGATTAGGTTGTATTTTCTAGTATTTTATATAATTGAATTATATAGTATGCACTTCTTTTTGGGTCTGGATTTTTGAACTCAGCATAATTATTTGAGATTTATCTATCTTGTGTGTTTTTATTTTTGTTTTTTGCTGACGGGTATTCCATTGTATGGTTATATTTCAATTAATCTGTCCACCTGTTGATGGACATTTGGCTCATTTCCAATTTTTGGTTATTATGAAGACAACTATTATGAACATTTGTATACAAGTATTTGTATGGTCATGTGCTTTTATTTCTCTTGATAGCACATAGCCTTGGAAACTATAGCTTTATATTATTATTATTATTTTTCTTTTTTATTTATTTATTTAATTTTATTTTTGTTACAGTGTTTCTCCTTTTTTACCCCATTGACACCCTCCTCCCCATCCCCCCCCCCACCCCATCCCCGGCTTTGTTGTCCATGTCCATTGGTTATGCATACATGCATATAAGTTCTGTGGTTTATCTCTTCCCACCCCCCACCACCCCCTCTTCTGAGGGTTGTCAGTCTGTACCCTACTTCTGTGTTTCTGGGTCTACCCTATTCCTCAGACTGTTATATTCATTATATTCCATATATAAGTGAGATCATGTGGTATTTGTCTTTTTCTGCTTGGCTTGTTTCACTTCAGATAATACTTTCCAGGTCCCACCGTGTCATCTCAAAGGATAAGAGATCTTTCTTTCTTACAGCTGCATAGTACTCCATTGTGTACATGTACCACAGCTTTTTTATCCATTCGTCTACTGATGGACACTTGGGCTGTTTCCAGATCTTAGCTATTATAAATAGTGCTTCTATGAACATGGGGGTACATATA